AAAAATGTACCACGTATCCATAATTGACGGTTTAATTAGATCTGATATTTTGAAATTTATTGTATATTGACTGCGGATGTTTGTTATAATTTAATTAATGGAAATGTTATACATTATACATAAGTATTACTGATTGTTCTTGGCTTTACGGAACTACATCCTCGAACGTTGCCAATTGTTTTTCCAATCTTTTGTCACGTATTGATGTTGATGGAAGGAGTGACCACTCTCGTGGAGCCAAGTAATGGTCAATAATTAATATTAGTGTAAAGGCTAAGATGCACTGATGATGGCTCGAATGGATGCCGAAACGTATGGAATTTAATAATTAATAAACTTATTCATCGCAAAACTTACAGCGACTATACTCTCATTAGCCCTTGTTTATGTTTTATATAAAAATTCATTTAATATTCCAGTTGTATTTCACAACTTGTCGGGCTACGACGCACACTTTCTAATTAAAGAAATCGCTACAGCATATGAAGGACAAGTACATGTTCTACCGATAACAAAGGAAAAATACATTTCATTTACTGAACATGTCGATAGCACCAAAGATAAAAATACAAATCATTTTCCGAAAAATTGCGTAAAATTAAGGTTCATTAATTTATTTAAATTTCTAAATACAAGCCTCGATAAATTGGCGTCGTATCTCGACAAAGATAAATTAAAAATTGTACATTTCTAATTTTCAATTTTGTCAGACGAAAAGTTTGAATTACTGATTAGTAAAGGTGAATTACTTTCCGTACGAGTACGTTGACTGCGTTGAAAAATTGCAGGACACGCGCTTACCACCGCGCGAATCATTTTACAGTTCGTTGACGGGTGATACAGTATCCGAGAGCGATTACGCTCACGCCGTGAACGTATGGCAGCGATTCTCCATCCGAACGCTCAGCGAGTACAGCGATCTGTACTTGAAAACCGATGTATTGTTATTAGCCGTCATTTTCGAAAATTTCCGTGAAAGTTGCGTCGCGAGTTACGGTCTCGATCCCGCAAATTACTATACACTGCCAGGTTTCACGTGGGACGCTATGCTAAAATATACGTGCGTAAGATTTGAGTTGCTCACCGACATTGATATGGTCATGTTCATCGAGCGTGGAATACGCGGGGGCCTCTGTCAGTGTTCCAACAGGTACGCGCAGGCTAATTACAAGTATATGCGTTCGTACGACTCGTCGAAACCATCGAAGTACTTAATGTACTACAACGTGAATAATTTGTACGGATAGGCGATGTGTCAACCATTGCCATACACCGAATTTCGATGGGTCAAAGACGTTGTGAACTTTGAAGCGAGCGCGATCGTTCCGGATTCACCCACCGGTTATATTCTTGAATTCGATCTCGAGTATCCACAGCATTTACACGATCAACATAATGACCTGCCTTTCTGTCCGACGCGCGATAAGCCGCCTGGCAAGCGCGAGGATAAACTTCTAGCGACTCTGTACGATAAACAGCGTTACATCATCCACTACCGTAATCTGCAGCAATGTACTCGTCACGGTCTTCGCGTAACGAAGATCCATTGGGTGCTACAATTCGCGCAATCTCCATGGCTTCGCGAGTACATTCAACTCAATACAAATTTCAGAACTCGCGCGAAAAACGATTTCAAGAAAAATTTGTATAAATTAATGAACAACGCGGTTTTCGGCAAGACCATGGAGAATGTGCGCAATCACGTCGACGTAAAATTAATAACAAAATGGGACGGACGGTACGGTGCGGAGGCAATGATCGCGAAACCGAATTTTCACAGCCGTAGCGTCTTTGCGGAAAATTTAATCGCCGTCGAACTGCGTAAACTCGAGGTGAAGTTTAACAAGCCGATTTACGTGGGTATGTGTATACTCGATATATCGAAAGTCTGCTTGTACGAATTTCACCACGAGTATATGTTACCACTATTTCGTGACAAATGCCAAATTATGTACACCGACACGGACAGTCTCATTTACCGTATAGAATGCGACGATTCTTACGAGTGTATGAAACGCGATATCGCAAGATTCGACACGAGCGATTATCTGGTGGACAACGCGTACGGTATGTCTCTCGCGAATAAAAAAGTACCCGGTCTTATGAAGGATGAGAACAATGGTATGATAATGACCGAATTCGTTGGACTCAGAGCGAAGATGTACACGGTGAGGGTAGGTGGCAAAAAGGACACCAAAAAAGCGAAAGGTGTAAAGAGTAACTTAGTAGCGCGAACGATAATGTTCAACGATTACACGCGGTGCTTGAACGAAGAGATCGAAAAGACTCGTCGTCAATCGTGTATACGATCTAAACTGCGTGAGTTATACACGATATCCGAATCGAAAATCGCTCTGAATCCATACGATGACAAACGGTACCGGACTCGACGGAGACGTTACCGTGGGGACATTGGCGGATACCTTTGTAATTTATATAAGCATTAACATTTATATTACTAACACAATACAATAAAAAGGCTATAGGAGTCCACCTCAAGGTCTTACACAGTTGAGTATTTATTAAATTAATTATATCTTCGTCTTAACTTGTACGTTTCGACTCCACTGTTGAGTCATCTTCAGCAATAACATATGAGAAAATTTGGTGTTATAAATCTTGAATCTCGAAGTTCATAATTCTTCATGTATGCGACCCTATACCCCTGTGAGAACGTGAGTTCATTCTCCAGCCCAGTTGGTTGGCTGAGTGGTAATAATGACTCTTAACTGAAATCATTTTCACAACGACCATTGTAGAATATTAGCGCAATGCAAAACCAAATCCCTATCCACTCACCTCACAAAGCCATGTAGTTCGCAACCAATCCGAATTCATTTGAATGTTTCTTAATAATCAAATATCTCGCAACATCGCCTAATTTAAATCTTGTAACAATTACATGTCCGTCTTGCATGAACAGTACTTCGCTTCTGTATGTTAAAACGTGTGCACATTACAGCGGTCGAAAAACAAAACATTCATAATTTGTTGAGAATTTCCATGTAAGCGTTATTTAAGGCTGTCGTATCATTTTGTAAATTCAAGCCATTAGTCTGTCTTTTGATATGCAACATTTCAGATGTTATTCTTTTATTATAAAACTCTTCCACATCCAAAACTTCCACATTGTCCCAATCAAATTCGTGATCAAGATGCGACCTGTGCTCCGTAACAACCGAATGAGAAGAAGTTGCTCCCATTATGTTTTTTCTATGTTCCATTACTCTAGTTTTTAATTTTCTGCCAG